TCTGACGACCTGCTGTACTGTGTCTCCTGCTGAGGGGCAGGTTTAAGGATGACATGACTGGTATTTAGCTGCTCCACTGGCTTCCTCTTTCTTCAAGACAGAAGCACAAGGAGTTTTTTCTGAAGCACTGGATCCCCTGAGTGCCGAGAGAACAGACCAACCACAGGAAGCAGTTGTACAGTCTAAGCTCCATTCGGCAGTAATTCCCCGAGCTGCCTTTTTGAGAAATTGTTATATTTCAACAGGAATTGGAAGGAGAACACACAAAATATTAAAAGGGCACTTTCTGCGTCTGGAAACAGCACATCAAGGGCAGCTTTCTTTTATGCAATGTTATCACCTGGGCTGCAGTGGCCTCCCTGTACACAGGCTCTCTGGCAAATGAGCCGGATCCACGGGCAGCACTGAAAATTCACAGGGGTGAGCCAAGTCGGACCCAGGACAGGTGAGATCCAAGCAAGGAGATGGATTTCACAGCTCCACAAGGGATCCTCAGGTTGTGTAACTTCAAACTGTTGAAAAAGAACCCCAAAACACAACACCATAAGGCAGAAAGGCCCACGTTCCCTACCTCCTATTAAGAATAAGAAGAAGGCAATTTGCATGTTGGCTTTGCATTTGTAAGAGGAAAGAAAACCCAGAACTTGAAGGATAGATATAAGGAGTGGGTCCAGGAAAACATTACAGGTTGAAAAAAAAATAAAAAGGCATGTCCTGTGTCCCAGATGCATTGAGCCCAGCTCAATGATGGAGATGTGGGCCACAGGGTATACCAGGTGCCAGTTAACTAGAATTCAATTCTTTCCTAAAACCTCACAAAAGTACACAGACTCCCACCCCACCCTCCTCCACATGCAGACTAGAATCTGAGTTCCATGAGTACAGAAGTTGTTTTTTTGTCTGTCTTGTTCACTGATAAATTCCAAGTATCAAGAATAGTGCCTGGCACGTAGTAGGCACTAAATAAGTATTTGTGGAAGGAAGGAAGGAAGGAAGGAAGGAAGGAAGGAAGGAAGGAAGGAAGGAAGAAAGGAGGGAGGGAGGGAGGGAGGGAGGGAGGGAGGGGGGAGATTCGGTGCTGGGGTGTACCTCCTACAGGAGAAATAGAGCAGGTGTTCAATAAACAATGGCTATTGTTGATATAATTAGTATTTGTTTCCGGGGGTTAAATACAAAAACTTAGGCAACACTGGTAGTTAGTTGTGCTGGGAATCTCAATATGAAGGGTTTCAAAAATTGTTGTTAATTAAGGTACAACAACATGCAAGGAAATAAACAGATCCTGGGTAAAAGTCTGATGCACTTTGACAAATGTCAAGATAGAGAACAATGCCATAACTTGAGAAAGCTCCCTATGCCCCTCCTCCACAAAAGCAACCACCATTCCTGTTTCTAACCCCATAGACTGGTTTTGCCTCTTATTGAACTTTACATAGATGGAATTATATAGTATATTTCTCTGTGTCTGCCTTCTTTTGTTCAACATAATGCTTGGCAATTCATGCATGTTGTAAGTATTACCAGTTCATTCCTTATTAATGAGTAGCATTCCATTTTGTGAATATACCATAATTTATTTATCCATTCTTGTTGCTGCACATTGGCATTCCTTCTGATGTTCTATTATGAAGAAATCAAGTTGCAATGAACATTCTTATACAAATATTACTTTGAGGGTATATGCTTATATTTATTTACAGTAAATACCTAGGAGTGGAATTACTAGGTTGTAAGGTTTGCATATGTTTAGTTTTGTAAGAAACTGGCAAACACTTTTCCACAGTGATTGCAATTTTGCATTGTGATCAGCCATATTTAAGAGATTCAGTTGCTCCATATCCTTGTCAACACTTGGTATTGTCAGTCTTTCATTTTAGCCATTCAGTGGGTGTGAAGTGAAATATCATTCTGGTCTTAGTTTGCATGTCTCTGATGATCAACAATGTTAAGCATGTTTTCATTTACTTACTGGCCATTTGAGTAATATCTTTTGTGAAGTGTCTAACTTAATTTCACACTTCTGTGTTGTTTTTCTTTTTTATTATTGATTCATAGGAGTTCTTTGTGTGTATATGTGTGTGTGTGTGTGTGTGTGTGTGTGTGTGTGTATGTGTATGTATATGAATAAAACCATAGTTAATATTCTTTTCCCAGTCTGTGGCTTGCCTTTTCACTTTCTAACCGTGTTGGTACATGAGCAAAATTTAAAAATTTTTAAATTTTGGTGGAGTCCAGTTTATTATTTTTACTATATGCTTAATGCCTTTTGCATTCTACTTTCTCAGATCACAGCAATACCCTCCTAAATTTTCTTCTGGGAACTTGACAGTTTTAACTTACATTTAAGTTGGAAATTTATGTTAAGTAATTTTTATGTATGGTGTGAACTATAGGTTAAGGTATTTTTTTTTCTATATGGATATCTGGTTGATCCAGCAACATTTATTAAAAGGACTTTCTTTTCCCTCACTGTCATAATTATTCATCACAAATCACTTGAATGTATGTTTATAGATCTATTTTCATCACTTTATCACTATGCAAAATGTTACTTATAGGGCTTTCATAGATAACCTTTATCAGATTGAGAAATCTCCCTCTTTACCATGAATGGGTATATTAGATTTCATCAAATGCTTTTTTGGCATCTGTTGAGAAGACCATGCAATTTATTCATTTATTATATTAACATGGTAAGTTAGACTGATTTTTTTGAACATTAACCAGTTCATAAGATAAACATCCATGATATATTATTCTTTTTTAATATATTGCTGGGTTCTGATTACTACTATATTGAAACATTACATAGAGTGGTGTCATTTCTTTTTAAAATGTCTCATGGAATTCACAGTGAAGCCATCTAGGTCGGGAGTTTTTCTTGTTTTTGAAATGGGAAAGATTTTAGTTATGAGTTCAATTTCTTAGCAAGTTTAGAGCTTAGAAACTTAGGGAATTCAGACAGTCTATTTCTTTTTATGTCAGTTTTGGAAATTGGTGGGTGTTTGTTTTTTTTTTTTTTTCCAAAAAAACTTTGCCCATTTTATCTACATTGTGGAATTTGTTGGCATACATTATTCCCAATTTTTTGATCGTTTTAATGTCTACAGGATCTATAATGTCTGTGTTAATATTCCCTCTTACATTTTTAGTACTGATTATTAGTATTTGTGTTTTCTATGTTTTGTGTGATCACTCTTGCTAGAAATTACGAGTTTCATTAACCTTTTCAAAGAACTAGCTTTTGGCTTTGTTGATTTTTCTCTATATTTGTATTTGACTTTGATTTTTACTCTTATATTTATTGTTTTCTTCCTTCTACTTCATTTGGGTTCCCTTTGCTCTTTTCCTAGCTTCTTAATGTAGAAGCTTCAATCACTGCCTTTACACTTCCCTTATTTTTTTATTTATAAGCTGTCACAGCTATGAATTTCCCCCTTAGCACATCTTCAATTTTATTCTTCAAATTTTGACATGCTGTGTTTTCCAAGGTCATTTCATTCAAAATATTTTCTTATGTCTTTTTTTTCTTTGACCCGTGGGCTATTCACAGGCCGGACCTAATTTCCAAACATCTGGTGATCCTGTAGATATACTTTTATTATTAACTTTTGTTTTAACACTGTGTGGTCAAAGAAAGCATTCTGCATTACTTCAATCCTTTTAGATATATCGAGACTTGTTTTATGCTTGAGAACACAGTCTACTTTGGTGAGTTCCCTAAGTGCACTTGAAGAAAAGTTTCTTTTGTAGCTGTGGGGTGTAGCAGGCAAAATCTTCCAAAGCTTTCTCTTCATCTTCCCTTCTAGGAATGCATCATTGATCGTCCAGAGTCAATGCATCTGTTTGCACAGAACTTTTTTCTGATGCTAGTTAATTATAGGACGGTTCCTCACCACATCCTGCATCTTCCTACCCCTAGGATCTCTCAAGCCCATCTGATGTGCAAAGTGAAAAGAAATCTCAAGCTGCTGAAGCAATTTAGAAGCCATGCCTTGCTTGTCAAAAAAGACAAGATAAAGACACAGGCTTCCGTTTGATCTCTTTTATTCTGCTCTTTATGTGATAGTACGGCCACTGACTTGGAACTTGGTGGGAGAGTGGGAAAGTGGGACAGATACTGTCATCGTTCTCATGGCGTCATCTGTAAATCCTATGACATCTCCCCTCTCTGACTCAGGACACGGCCTTGGGTAAGACGTGTGATGATTTTTTTTCCCTGCAGTGGTGTTTTTCATTTTTTTTTTCAACGTTTTTTTATTTATTTTTGGGACAGAGAGAGACAGAGCATGAACGGGGGAGGGGCAGAGAGAGAGGGAGACACAGAATTGGAAGCAGGCTCCAGGCTCTGAGCCATCAGCCCAGAGCCCGACGCGGGGCTCGAACTCACGGACCGCGAGATCGTGACCTGGCTGAAGTCGGACGCTTAACCGACTGCGCCACCCAGGCGCCCCTCATTTTTTAATAGTTAATATACATATTCTATAAAATGTGCTTTACAAGAAATATAATCAACCTGTGATTTGTAGAAGTGACATGCTTAAGTTTCGGAAATGGGTTGATTTAAAGTAAAAGACTACAGAGATGAAATACAGGGGTTCCTCCATATGGCAAAATGTGTAATTATGGTACATAATATGGGGTTTAGGCAGACTCGTGTGATCACTGCTCTGTAGCAAACGTGTACTATTGTACCAACATGAACCAAACTGTAGTCTTTACATTATTTATCCTAAGTCCTTCAAGGACCCTTCCTAATGAGATGTGAGAAGCTGACACACAGAACAGCACACGATCACCACAGTTTACCCAGGAAAAGCATTCCGCCTGCACCTTATGATATTTGGTCTGCCTTGTTCCAAGAAACATCTGGTCCTGGTCATGGGATGGGATCTGGAGCCGCTCAGCAGAAAACATGTGAGGAAAAGGAGTAAGCCGAGCCCCTCTGTGGCCCCTGCTTTCATCCTTCCCCTATACGCGGCATGCCGAAGGATGCTCACCTTTTCCCATTCTCTGTCCTTGTTCAGCACAATCACCACCAGCCTGGGGTGCACCTGATAGCCTTCCTCAGTGAAGGACAAGTCTTTGCCATCCCATGTCACGTTGACCATAAATCTAGAGAGAGGAAGAGAGAAAGACATGTTTTTAGGGAAGAATTCAAGAGGTCAGATGAGCGGATGCCACCATCAACATAACACTCAGAAAGTGAAGACTTATGTGGCTATCATCACGCACGACAGGTGGCCTCTATCCAAGGAAGTATTAGTACCCGCGTGGGCACTGCTAATTGGCCAGGCACTCGTTTCCATGAACCTGTAATCACTCTCAGAATCCCCAATCCTGTTTAGGCATTAGTAATTGTAATTAGCACATGGGATGGACCCTTCCATCCTGCCATGCCCACAGACTTCTGTTCAAATGATAGTACAGGAGGGTCTAAAAGCATGTTCTATTATGTTTTAATAAGCTTCCCTAAAGGAAGCTGCTTGCTCATAAACCACATGGTATACAGCTTCCAAGAAATAGTATCCCATCTGTTCATTACTCATTCTACTAATACTTATTAGGTATTTGCTACAGGCCAGGACGCAGCCACTTGGATGAAGATAAGTAAGGAAACAGATAGGATCCCTCTCCCCATGAAGCTTAGAGTGTAAAGGACAGGACAGGCATTAATTAATTACAGATCTATGACAAGTGATATAGTAGAGAGGTGAGTGTGCCATGTGGAAGTGAAACAGGGGTCAGGCAAGGCTATAAGGAGTCAGTATTAACTAGGTTAAAAAAAAAAAAGGACATAAGCATATTCCAGGCAAAGGGCAGCAGCAAGTGCAAAGGCCTAGTACTGGTACACATGAGGGATTGACTGGGAGCGAGACCAAACCAGAGACCAGCGAGACCAAAGCAGACAGAGAGACAGAAGAATGTGGTATGTGGTATGGCTGAGAAGATGAATCGGTGAGATACAGCAAGACTTTTCAGGCCATGTTAAAGACTTTTGTTTTTGTTTTAAAACAGTAGGAAGATACTGAAGGTTTTAATCAAGGAGGTGGTAAATCGGACTTTTCTTGTATAATATGACTTGAATGTTGTGTACAGAATGAGTTGGAGGGGACATAGGGGGTTGGTTACATTGTGCTTATTATCCAGGTCAGAGAGGATGTTGGCCTGGGAACTGTTGTGGCCCCAAAAGAAAGGGAGGAGAAGGAGAAATACCAGCTGCCACAAATAGGACCAAGTGGAGAATATTTAGCAGGTGTTTAGTGATGTGGAGGTTGGGGGAGAGAGAGGCATCAAGGACAACGCCTCGCCTCACCATCCGCCTTATATAACATCCGTATGGTCAACCCTTAGCCTAGGTGTTTTCATTGCACAACATCTGTCTTCCTTATGATACTCTTATCTCTAGCACCCCTCAAAGCCACCTTGCCTGTAGGCAAGGTGGATGCAGACAGGGAGGGAGGGAGGCAGAGGTCAACTCCCATGATTCAGGTGGGAGGGTCCCCGGGATTCCACTTCTCCTTGCAGCTTAAGAAAAAGGTGAAGCTGTCAGACTTGCATGGGAACATACCACCTGGCAGATACTCAGTTAATGTAGTATGGTGGGTTGAAATATTCAGAGATCCCAGACAGACAGACAGGCTATCTCAAGGCCATGGCATTTTCTTGCTTCACATTCCCTTAACACCAAAAGCAGCTAAAGAAGTAAAATATCAAAGAGGAGAAATAGACTATGAAAAAAATTCTAAAACCAGGGACTGTCCTAACTGGTCACATGTCTGCCCCTGGGCAGCCATAGTGGATACTGTGTTGTGAGGAGGAAGAATCAGGTCTCCAAGGACAAGGTGAAGAAACTGGGGAAAAGGCAAAAAAGCAAATATTGTGTATCCATTCAATGAATTATTTGGTTTTTTTTTTTCTAAATCGTGTTTTGATGACAAGTTAAGGGTGAAGAGAAAATGCTCACTATTTAATGTTAAACAGAAGAGAATAAAAATAGGGTTTGTCTATGCACAGAGGGATTACAGGTACCTTTTATTTGTGTGTGTGTGTGTCTTTTTGTTCTCCAAGTTTCTTGCAAATAGTGTTTGTTAAAAAACAGAAAAATAAAGCACTGCGATTCTAGAAGGAGCAAAGAGTAATCACTCTATTTGGTGTGCATGCAAGGTATCTGTGATCATTTCCTCATAGGTATTTTGTTGATTCAACAACTATTTACTGAATGTCTATTATATGTCAGACCCTATGGGGAGTCTTCTAGATACAGGAATAAAAACCGCAGTGGCTGTCCGCCCTCCTACAGGTATCTTTACCGCTCAGTGACACAGGCACATAAACAATGACAGCACGCAGAACACCACTCATGCACAAATGCACAGTGAGTGGGAGATGTAAGAATGCCGAGGAAGGCCCCTCACTCAACCTAAGGGATACAGGTGGCACTTCCTGGGGAATCTAGGAGAGTAAAAGGGTTAAGAAGAGGTGGGAGAAAAGAGTTCTGAGCCAAAGAATCACCCTGAGTAAAGAAGAGTCAGCAAAGGCAGTGACACATGCTAGGGAAAGCAGGGAATAGCTTAGTAAGCTGAGGGGCAGTGGGATTTGTCTGAAGAGAATCCCTGAAGCCAGATCGTAAACGACTTTGAATACTGCCCTAAAGGGTTTGGATGTTGTTCAGAAGACCATGGAGATCCATGAAAGGTTTTAAGTAAAGCAGTCATGCAGTCGGATTTGCTGCCAAGAGAAGAAGTAAAAATGCTTCTCTGCATTGAAGGACAACTCCAACATTTTTGTTTATGTCTAAAAACCTCTCACTAACTAGGGGGACCTAAATTACTCTGTTTGTATTTTTCCAGTTTGACTTTTGCTTTTGTTCCCCATGATTAATTTTAGTTGTGGCCCATTGTAGCATTGGAGTTTATGTTTGGTGGTTGAGTATGTTGACAGATCATCACCACAAGTGTCATCCATCCGTGTATACATCCATCCATCCATCCATCCATTCATCCGTCCATCAGTCCATCCATCCTTGTATCCATCCATCCATCCATCTATCCATCCATCCATCCATCCATCATTCTGTCAATCTGCCCATCCATGCATCTATCCATCCATCCATCAATCCATTCATCTATCTGTCCATCTGTCAGTCCATCCATCCTTATATCATCTGTCCATCCGTCCATCCATCCATCCATCATTCTGTAAATCTACCCATCCATGCATCTATCCATCCATCCATTTATCCATTCATCCATCTGTCTGTCCATCCATCCATCTGTCAATACACCCATCCATGCATCTATCCATCAATCCATTCATCCTTCCATCCATCCATCCTTTTACCGTCCATCTGTCCATCCATCCATCATTCTGTGAATCCACCCATCCATGAATCTATCCATCCATCCATCCGTCAGTCCATCAGTCCATCCATCCTTGTATCATCTGTCCGCCCATCCATCCATCCATCCATCCATCCATCCATCCGTCAATCCACCCATCCATGCATCTATCCATCCTTCCATCCATGCATCTGTCAGTCCATGCATCCTTGTACCCATCCATCCACCCATCATTCTGTCAATCCACCTACCCATGCATATATCCATCCATCCATCCACCCACCTACCCACCCGTGTATCTATCCATCCATCCATCCACCCACCCACCCATCCACTCATCCATCTGTCCACCCATCCATCTGTCCATCCATCCATCCATCCATCCATCCATCCATCCATCCATCCATGTATTGATCCATTCACCCACCCACCCATCCAACCTATAGACATATTTGAGTACCTACTATGTGTCATGACCTGTGCCAAGAGATGTGATAGGAAAAATGATACAAAAGTAAACAAATACATTCCTGCAATAAATAATTGGAATAAAGACAGTAAGGATGAAATTAGAGATTTGTATTAAGTAGGCTGGTGAAGAGCGTAAGGAATAGAATGGCTCTGCTCTGATGGCAGAGGTGGAATCAGGAAACAAAGTGGAAACGTTTGGATTGTGTCAGGAAGGGATAATAAGGGCTGGCTAGGTGAATGGCCAGGGGAAAGGGGTGGTGATGCGCTGCATGGAGGAAGCCATAAAGCCAATGGCATAGAACCATGGAACAGGATGGAACACTATTCATGTTATTTCAATATAAATAATGCAGACAAAGACCACCAGTGAGTAGAAGCTAGTATGAAATCAGTTGCCAAGTCACTCTGTATTTGCTACCCAAAACTTAGGGTTAGGCCAGCCAATTCACTAAGGTCTTTTATTTATTATCACTGTTGTTGTTGTTGTTGAATCAAATTAGCTACCAAGCCAGGTTTCAATTTGTCCATCCCTTTGGGATGGAAAGAGCTCAGGATGGATCTATCTAATAATGGCCCAAATGTGGATGAACTGAAAATTTCAGTCAATTATCAAGAGGTTTAGAAATATCCAGTTTGTTATCTTTTTGGAAAAGGCAGACCAGAGAGCAAATGCTTTGGCTCTGACATAGACATGAAGCCGGGGAGGGCCGCTCACAGCATTACATATCACGACTGAACACCACAGTCGCTGTTTTATCCACGGAGCTGGCGTGTACCACGGAGCATCCATATCTTCTTTTGATATGCCAGCTGAATTTACTTAAGCCTCCCTCCTCTTTGATTCCCCATCATTATTTCTTCCACCCATTCCTCTTCCCCCCTCTTGTAGTGAGATAAGATGGAATGAGCAGGGTGATTATTTCGATGTGATGGCTCTTCTTCAGGTTATATGGAAACAACTATACGGACGTTCTCACACTCCCTCATTTTCTGTGTTCCTTTAAGATTTAATATTCTGGACCAATGAGTCTGTATACTCAATGTTAATACAGGTTCTTTACTTTTTCCTTTTTTTAAATTTTATTAACAGTCTTCAATCCCTTGTGTGTGTGTGGTGGGGGGGGGGGGGAAACCTCTACCAAAATTTTTTGTTAAATGGTAATTTCATTATGAAGTTGGCAGGATGCAAACACCTATTACCTTCAATTCCCGCATCCAATTTCTAGGAAGGAGAATCCATATTTTCTCAGGCTTTCTTCCCATTTAAACCAGCTCCAGAGCAAAATCCTTTACCTAGGGAAA